CGGCAGGCTCCGGTGTCACCTGCACCGCAGGTGTCGGGTGGCACAGCCAGCACTGCCAGGAGCTGAGAGGGCTCAGCCAGGCGTGCACAGGTAAGAGGGGTGCAGCCCCCTGGGGCGGACTGGGGGGGCATAGGGACGCGGTGGGCTCAGGGCTGCCCCGACCCCCTACCATGGCTCTCACCACCCCACGGGGGGCAGGAGCCTGGTGCACGGCCATGGCCGGGGCACTGGCAGAGCCCAGCACCATGGGGGCACATGGGATGGGGGTCTTGGCGGAGCAGTGTGTGCCAGGCCCATGTGGGGCTCGGGACCCCATTGTGCTCGTTGTGCACGGCCCTGGCTCGTTGGCACTTACCAGGGTTACGAGCATCTCTGCTGGGGGCTACAGAGCCAGGCTGCCCTGGGGAGGTGCAGGTGTGTGCCAGCCCGGTGCCAGAGCGGTGCGGGTGCCCGGTGCAGCGGGGCTGAGCAGCACAGACCCTTGCACCAGACCGGGGCTGGGGCTGCCGGAGCGGGAGCCAGGCTTGGCACTGCGCCCCAGCAGCCGGAGCAGGAAGCGCCGAGCTGGCACTTGTTGACTTAGCTGGGGCTGGCAGCGGCAGCAAGCACCCGGGCTCGCCGTGCAAATGCCACAGGCGGAGGTGGTGCACGGGGAAATGCGAATGGGGGGCCCCCGGCACAGGGAGCGGGGCTGTGTTGCCGCGGCACCCCGAACCTGGGGAGCGGGTACAGCCCCCCTGCAGTGCTGGCGCTCGGCAGCACGACCTGGAAAGCTGCTGCGGTATGTGCTGGGGTGAGCCGAGGCTGCACTGCCTGAGAGCCTCGTTCAGAGGGAGGTTTGGAACCAGGCCCCAGCCCCGCAGGGGATAAGCTCCCGGTAATCCGTGGGGCCAGGGCTCGTCACTCCTGTTCCCAGGGGGTTATCCTGGGGGAGGCTCGGCCGGGCTCCTGGGCACAGGCTATGGGGTCACAGTGCCAGGCGCTGATGGCGCATGCATGCCACCCCGGCATGCAGCCCCTGGTGCAGCCTCGTGCCAAGCGGACACCTGGGGCATGCACCTGCCATCCCCCCAGACTGGCATCTGCCCCACGGCCACCGCTGGCATGGCCCTGCTCCGTCATGGCTCTGCCCCACGGCCACCCTGGTCACAGCCGGGCATGGCTGTGCTGAGCCACGCTCCCCACTGCAGCTGGCGTCACGCGAGAGCAGCCCCGAGGGCCTGCACCGGGCTGACTCCACCAGGCGGTCAAGGAATTTTGGCAAGCAGCCGAGCACCGGTGACTACTACAAGCACCTGGGGCACAGTGCAGCTGAGCAGCCCGGCCCCCGGCGAATGGCGCACAGCGAGGAGGTGAGCCCCCAGCCCCGCACCGTGAGCCTGCACATGGCTCAGCGGCACTGGCACTGCCCGACACCTGCCCGTGCTCTCTTTCAGGCATCGCCCATCTC